AACAAGCTCTTCACACTTGATCCACAAATTAATACCGTTGCTTTGTGTACCCATCCATTGTGTTGCGTAACAATGGGCTTGTAGCGTGAACAATTTCCCTGCGGACTTTCCCAATATAAAACTCTTCGATTTATTATTATAACCTTTAATTATGTTTGTTAGTATTATTATTAGAATCCATCAGCCGTGGAATATATAGCAACCATACAGCTAATTAAATCAGCTACCAATTATTCTGTAGCCATGTTTCACTTTGATGCCCTTCGCATTGTACGGTTTGAAGCGCTGCAGGGTCGGGGGGGGGGTATTTTGAAAATATGCTTAAACATAGACGAGGTTGATTGACGTTTGTAATGTGGGAATCGGCACAGAAAACAGAATATTAATAAATATTCAACTTGTGCTTTGAATGTATTTATTTCTGTGGTTCTTATATAGGTCCACAGCAACGAACAACGCTCGACCGATCAGTCTCTTTCGGCCATTGTTTTGATAGTGTCATATTGTAGTCGCCATGAAATCTGAGGATAAAAGAAGTGTCATACTGTAGTCGCCATGAAATCTGGGGATAGAAGAAGTGTCATATTATAGTCGCCATGAAATCTGGGGATAGAAGAAGTGTCATATTGTAGTCGCCATGAAATCTGAGGACAGAAGAAGTGTCATATTGTAGTCGCCATGAAATCTGGGGATAGAGGAAGTGTCATATTGTAATCGCCATGAAATCTGAGGATAGAAGAAATTTTGGCTCTGTAACTAATTGAGCAGGGAACCGGGATAGCGTAGCCGGTATAGCGACTAGCTACGGGCTGGAAAACCGAGGGTTCGGAGTTCGAGTCCTGGTAGGGTCAAGAAATTTTCTCTTCTCTACTTCGTCCAGAGGCACTATGCTACAAGCCGGAAGATCGCGGGTTCAAGTCCCGATGAGGTCATGGAATTTTTTTCAATTGACCTAGTCCTTCCGGCCGCACTATGACCCTGGGGTCGACTCAGCCTCTAACAGAAATTAGTACCAGGAATTAATTAAATAATTTTCCTGGGGACAACCTGACAACCTTACCGCCATCTTTGAGCCTATTGTCACAACCCTATGGGCCTTCGCGGCCTCTTGCAGGGATAACTATACTTTTTTTACTTTTACGTCGTCCAGAACGGTTCTTGGGTCCACCCAAACTTATATCAAATGGGTGGCAGGGGCTCCTTTCCCGGGGGTAAAGCAGCCGCACTCACCTCCAGTTAATGCCGAGGTGAAGAAAACGTGGATCTATACATCCACTCCCCCATACGCCTTCATGACGTAGTGCTTAATTAGTTAAGAACAGGGATAACTTGTTTAACGGTACTTGGATTTGTTCCGTAATCCGACACCAGTGCTCTAATTAATTTATATTCGCTTATTGTGACGGCGAGATCGAACCCAGGCCACTTGGAGTACCATATTACAACTACTCACCGCGGAGGAGATTGATTCTTCGTGACCGTTTTATTTCTCGCAACGCAAACCTACATCTTGCATGGCTCACACGAAAATAAATGTAGGTTAACGTAATGAAAATTAAAATGGTCACAGTAGCGTCCAGACCGGGTCTGGGACCCACATAGCCTCCTGTACAGTAGGTATCGGCAGCTCTTTCCCCCGGGGGTGAAGCGGGCGGGGCGTAAGAACTTACTGCTCACCTTCATTTAGTGATGAAGACAAGAATGTTGAGGTTATACCTCCATTCCCCTATACGTCTTCATAGCGCGGTGCTTAATTAATTAAGAGCGGGAACGTTACTTTCAGGCAGACTCACGGCCCCTATCCATTTATGCATACCATTGACGCGTGTGTGAAGAAGTGTCTTTGGTCGCAGCTCAGGCGCTGAATAAGTCACCATGAAAACATTGGGACGCATGTGGTTTGGGTCGAACCCTGTAATCCGGTTACTCGTGTTGACTGTGTCATGCCTCTGGACGCTAGGCATAAATGCGAGACTAATATTGAAATGACCTAACAACAAGAATTTCCGAGAAGAACTGATCGCCTGCGTTCCTTTGATACGAGACGGACCGCATAAGAAACGGCTCATCCAAATATTCTTCGTTGTCGCGGGAACGTCTTTACTGAGCTGTTACCTAGCAACTATTAAGGGACAGATAACCTCACAGACATGCGTCCAACAGTTCTTCTATTGTTTCATGTATTCGTTGCCACGGGAACATATTTCCCGAGACGTTGCCTAGCAACGAAAGGAGAGATAGCTTTACTGAGCCTTTATCTAGTAACGAGTACACATACAGACACGAAGACAGATGAGAGGATTTTGTGAAGTACGCCGATGACAATGGACTCAGGTGTCATGATATAGATATATGCCAGGTTTCATAGAGACAGGTTTAGCTGCTCAAAAGTTAATTTTTTTTTTGGAGGGGGGATTCACTGACACACAGACAGCATCGAGGTCGCATAAAGTTACTTTTATTTTAGCCTATGTTCCTTATTTTGTAAATATAAGGAAAGTAGGCTAAAAGCGGCCTCCGAAGTCTAGGGGTAACCTTCCCACCTCATGACTCAAGGTACGCGGGTTCAAACCCGGCGGAGGTCGTGGAAATTTTAAGGGCTGAAAAATTCAGGGAACAAGTCCTCCGGGATGGACTTTAAGCCGTGGGTCCCGTGACGTAGATTTACGGCACGTAAAAGATCCTCATGTCTTTAGGAGACCTCTGAGCAAAATTTCCCTCCCGAGTAGTTTCCAATGCCTCTGATAGATGGGGAAATATTAGGTACCGACGGCCGACTTCGTCGGCTGAACGGGGCTAATAGCACGCACCAGTATCGGTAGGGTATGGCGACAGTATACATTAAAGGGGGACGCACAATGGACCAATAACTGGTCTAAGTGCATGGGGAAACCCACCCCCTCTAATAATAATAATAATAATAATAAAGTAGGCTAAAATTGGATGTCATTGTTTGGTTTGGATATGACTGACTAAGGATAGAGTCCAATGATGAGATGAGGCCTGTGACTTACTGAAAACAGCCACAAACTCTTCCTCAATATCCTGTACCATCGATTCTATTCTGGAGCTGTAAATTTCCCCAGACTGTAAACTTTGGATACCCCTGGGGTAGCGTGTGTGAGAACAGCATCTGGTTTCTCATTACTATATGTTAAACAGGAGTACCCGCTGTGTTGGGTTTCACTGGAGTGACTCGTTCCGTCTTTACTGGACAAAGCAACTGATTTTCAGCCTGGCTTGATAAGCATCTTGCTTCATAACGTCAGTAACTGACGGAGATGGACTGGCTTGTCTTCGTCAGTAGCAGTCGGCCAGCCTTTGTGTCCACCTTTGCTGTGCTTCTCTGCTCATTCTACAGCGAAACGAGAGCCGGATAATGTACGGTGGCGTTGTTCCTGTGCTTAAGCAACAAGGACTGGAGGAACGCGTAAATCGCTGCGTATTCCAGACTCTGACATTGAATGTGAGTGGTTAGATTCACACTCTGGCCCATTTACCCCCTTCTCCGGGAGAAAGGAACACTGTATACTGTCCTGTTTTTTTTATTGCTAGTGGGGTGGGACTAAGTCCCTTGTACTGCGGCCACTTCTGGCCTATTGTGGCAGCTCCAGATGATAGGTGAGGGTGATTGGGAAGCAATTGGTGGAATGAATATTGGCAAGGGAAGCCGAAGTACTCGGAGAAAACCTGCCCCAGCGCCACTTTGTCCACCACAAATGCCACTTGACCAGACCCGGAATCGAACCCGGGCCACCGCGTTGGGAATCCAGCGGCTAACCGCTTGAGCTATAGCGCGGCCCTATGCTGTCCTTACATCTCCGTTAAGACTGTAGCCAATCAGCAGATCGTAGCCTGTGTCAAGAAATCAACGGCAGGAGTTTGCTGGGCATGGTAAGTCGTTTCCTTCTTTCTTTCCAGACAGACAATTCGACAGTAAAGTAAGTAAGTAAAGGTATCCCTGTAACACACCGTGGTGTCCCATAAGGTTGTGAGATGTTGAGGCTCCCACATTTTCTAGACACTCGGCTCACAGATTGCGGTGAGTTTGTCAGCCTTACGCGCCGGCAGCCCTTTACCGCCAGAAAGATTTCTGGTATTCATTTCTGTTAGATGCTGAGTCGACCCCAGGGCCATAATGCGGCTGGAAGGATTAGGTAAATTGAAAAAAAAATCCACCTCGTCGGGATTCGAACCAGCGATCTTCCGGCGTGTAGCATAGTGCCTCGACTAACTACGCTACCGTGTGTCCAACTCGACAGTAGTTCCCTTAAAATGGGCTAAGACCACTTCCAAATCCATTAATTTCGTCATTCCTAAGCATTCTATTGTAAATAACTATAAATTAAAGCTTCGCTAAATAAGCAATAAATGAAACAGTCGTTAAACAGTTGACAACCCTATTACACTAGTCGAGAGATTTCCTCCAGTTGTGAGTCTGTATCGTCATTACAGAAGCTCGCTATTAGTCCATTTCAGTTCACACCTTCACAGGTGATTTCCCTGAACTAGCAGAAGCCAGTCCTGAGCAACTTATCGCATTACATGTCTTCACGGCGTATTTATCTACGAAAACGAACAAACTCCGTGGTTTCAGTCCGCAAGCGAACTAAACCGACCGAGAGACGGCCGCTTCTCGACGAAGTTAGTCCCAACTTTAGCGGATAGAGGGTGTCGCGTGGTCAGCGCAACGAATCCCCACGGCCGTTAATTTCGGTGTTCTAGACCGGAGCCGTTATTTCCTTGAAAGAGCTCCTCAATTACCCTCACGAGGCTGAGTGGACCCCGTTTCAGACCCACTACCGTATTTATCTAAGATAATTTTAATGTTATCCTTTTGTCTACATCCATAAATTCCAAGTATCCACGCATCCTTGAGAACAGAATTTCATTTCCGATATAACTGCTGTTCCTAGACAAAAAAAAAAAGGCTATATGAGTGTGGTAAGTGCAAGTTATGTTCGTTCCTGTTGGTGTGTAATGCGTTTGCGCTGTTGCAGGATGTTCGGAATATCTGGAGCGTGCTCAGCTTGCGGGCAGACGATTCCCGCGAGCGAGTTCGTGATGAGGGCCGGCAGCGGGACAGGTCAGGCGGCCGCCCACGGAGGAGGGCCTCAGCAACAACCCGGCGGTCACCAAGTATTCCACCTCAAGTGTTTCACGTGTTCCAAATGCGGGGCACAGCTCGTTCCAGGCGACCGCTACTACCTCCTTGCAGGCAGCTTGATCTGCGAGCAGGACTGGCACAAGCTGCTCAAGGGTTCCGGCGTCGCGGGGGGCACAGCCACGAACACAGGAACCGGCGTGCGCAAGGGGAAGGTGGGTCGGCCCCGGCGGAGCAGGGACTAGATGGGTGAGTGGTACACATCACGTCTTGCAGTAACCTCAAACAGATGTTGTCTTCAGGTATGGAAGGAAAAGAGACACAATAGACCTCCTGGTAATGGCTGTAGGCGATCGGAGAAAAGTTCGACATCCACTCAACCAAAGCACACCGTTCTTAACAATGTATCTTTCCGCGCCATCTGGCGAAAATAGGTAGGAAGCACCACCATAGTGCAGCACAGATGCCATCTGGAAGGTATTCACATACGCCATCTGAGGGAATGTCTGAGAAACACGGGGAACTGTAATTTGAATGCATCTTGCATATGTGTCGTTGGATTCATATGTAAGTTAATTGGAAGCAGTGAGTTTAAGATAACGTTGGGCGTAGAACAGAGAATAAAAGGTCTCTATTTTATGGACCAGGCAACGAAAATTATGACCAACTGGTAACACCAACACGAAACTGTGGAACGAAAGACTTTAAGAGCAGTTGTCAGAAGGAATGTGTTAATGATGAAATGACTGACAAGTGGAATATATCTGGATCTCTGAAAATGTAAGAGAAATATACTGGCTCCGTTGTATCAACTGCAGAGGTTAAGTACAGGAAGCCGAACGATGTTGCGTAAGATCAAGTGAAAATAATATTCGATCTTCTTAGAAAAAGAAGCCGTGAATCAGCACCCGTGTACAACTCCGTCGCATTGCCGCTGATGTCGGTACAGGCCTACATAGGCATAACCTTTGTAGGAATATGAAAATGATTTCGCCCATTAGGCCTATTGGTTTTATTGATTGACATCTAAACGTTTTGCATATGTCTGTCAGTTTCTAACAAGGGCCATGTTTGTGATCAGGTTTGATATACCGTATTTACGCATGTATAGGCCGCAGCACAATTTTCAGACAGAAATTATAGAAAAAATAATTTTCTTGGAATATTATTTCAGGAGTAGAACACCTGTATTACTAATTATAAATATATATTTTTTTAAATGAAGTGTGATTTCGAATATAAGCCGCACCCCAGTTTTCCTCTTGAATTTTTGGCAAAAAATGTGCGGCCTATACATGCGTAAATACGGTATTCTATCGAGTAATAGGCCATAACTGAAGTTTGTGACTAGGCGTGATATCCAAATTGTCAACTTTATGAAGATGTGTAGGAAGAGAACTATAAGAAGTAAAGTTGTCCTTGTGCTTAACTACTTAAGCACCACGTCATGAAGGCATGTAGAGGAGTAGATATATACATCCACTTATTCTTTTCTTCGGCACTAGTTGGAGATGAATGGTTAGCTTCACGATCCGGCCGCTTTACCCCTAGGGAAAGAGCCCCAGGTACCCATTCGATAGGAGACTGGGTGGGCCCCAGAACCGGTCTGGACGACGCAGAGAACAGAAAAATCTCGCCTCTACCAGGACTTGAACTGCGACCTCTCGGACGTCCAGCTCGTAACCAGGCGCTATACCGACTGCGCTGTCCCAGTTGTGTCCTGTACATGTTAAAGTTTATGACCAGGACAAATACCCAATCATTTGTAGGATGTTGTCAGTAAAGGATGAAAGGATATCAAAATGTTTGTCAGCTGTTGTGTCTCACCCCCCATTAGCATTGTCGCTGAGCGGCCGGCCACTGTAACGTTGCCTGTAATTGGAAGCTAAGTGGTACAAATGAAGGTCTGACGGAACAGCAAGCCCATATTCATTTCACGCTTCGGAATAACGCGCTGTCGTGTGTTTCTGTCAGTCATATTCTTCGGTGTCAGTAGCTTTCTGACAACCCTTCGGAGCGCGGAGAGACAGAGAGAGAGAGAGGTAGGTAGAACATATAGCAGAAGAGCAGATGAAAGTGAAAAGACGTGGGAGAAGTTAGAGACGCCTTATTGCGGCGGGGGGCAATCGATTTGTTAGAAGGTTCCCAGGCTTCACCCGTTCGCCCTTCTGATAACAGTAGAGTGAAAGTGAATGCGTTAGAATTCTAAGACACAGTGGGCTGGTCGCGGAATTTTGATTTTCTGAATTAATGTCGAATTGGAAATTGAAATAATATTTAGAAATTGAGTTCCTGCTTCGCAGGAAACACTGCACAGCCAGTTGCTTAAGGGGGCACTTGTTATTGCTGAGAACCACATGGAACACATAACCTCACTTTGTGGGCAAAATATGGTTGGTTTAGCGTTGATTTTATTACCTTTTTAACTCGTTTAGTTTTAATAATTTTCAAGTGTATTTTCTATTATTGTTCTGCTTTTATGTTAGCGTCCATTTGTCTATAATCCGTCTAAATTGCAACACTTTTTATTTTACACTTCAATACACTCTCTAACAGTACATGTTTCGGCCTCAAACGGCCATCTTCAGTTTTTTTTACAGCTATTCAATTAAGATTGTGTCGAAATTGTGTCGAAACTGCTACACTGTTTCACTGTTTCAATTCATTCTAAAAAACCACTCGCTGTAGTCTTCTTTTTAATTAAAATAATATAAAATTATTTTATAATTTGTTACTTATTGTTTTGCTTCACTCAGGGTGTCGTCATTTCCTTCCGTAAAATATAAGATGTTTTCCTTGGCAGCTTTAAGTTGTTTGTGTGGATTACAGATTTTTAACAGTAAAGCGTGCAATTGCCCTGAGTACAGAAATAGCTGTGCTTTGAAGGGTTAACGCACAACTGACTTGAGGCGTTTCTTGGGAGACAAAAAGTAAAGGCATTGCTCAGCTTCGCGTGTCTTGCGTTTTCCGGATCCATTCTCTGCAATTGGTATGGCTCATTGACCTTCATGATCTGTTCCACGTCTTCAGTTATTTGACTGCATATAGCCAGAAATTGTTTTTCCTTGTAGCTTATTTTGTTAATATTCGCTATACCGGATAAATATTCCAAATAAAATTGATATATTATTACGATGTATAATTTCTGTCACATAGAGTATTTTCTGAGACGGGATAGCGTAGTCAGCATAGCGACTGGCTACTGGTTGGACAACCGAGGGGTCCGAGCTCGAGTCCCGGTAGGGCCAAGAATTTTCTCTTCGCCAAATCGTCCAGACCGGCTCTAGGGCTTACCCAAACTTCTGTCCAATGGGTACCGTGGCTGTAGTGAGGTGTGAAGCTGACAACTCACCTCAATCTAGTGCCGAGGTCAAGAAAATGTGGATCTACACATCCACTCCACCATACGCCTTCATGGCGTAGTGATTACTTTTTAAGCACAGGGACAACTTATTTTATGCCTTGACAGTTTTGGTGACAACTGACGAAGCTTGACGTCGCATAAAAAAAAGGTTATACTGGGCCGCTAAGAACCAAAGTTAAAAAAAATCAACAATTTTGATGAGAATATCTTGCTCTGATATATGACACCTTGTAGTCTGGTAGAAGTTTACCGACCTGTAAGAGGGATATACAGCCTCCATCTTCAGTATGGAATGGTTTTCTTATGACTGCCGTTAGCGCCACAAATATCTCAATTTTAAGAAAGACTGGTGAGACTAAATTTCATATAAATCCATTCAGTAAGATGAAACTTGCGAAAGGACAGACCCAACTTCCCGTAATATTCAGCAAACAGGACCCACCTCGAGATGGGCCCAAACTCTGTGCTTTCGTATGTTACTAGCATGAAAATGGACGTGCAGAAAGTGGCGAAGCACTAGAATATCTTGCATACTGACAGTTGGCATGGTCGTTAATTGCTACTAATTACTGTCACCGCGGAGATAAGTTACTTTTCTTTGGACTTTGAACGTATGTGAACAGTTTGGTGGTATTTGTCATGGTTGGCAGGACTGCCTCTACGGGACAGATGGAACTGAGGCCTTTATGGTCCAGTAGACCTACATGAAAGTGTAAATAATGAACCAAATTAACACTCTCTGCTTTCTAAACCGATGCGACGAAATTATAATATTTTCATCTTCATTCTTCTGATCTGCTCACACATCACAACTGGAGTGAGGCAAGGTAAATTTGTCCCTGTGCTTAATTGATTGAGCAACACGCTATGAAAACGGATTAGGGACTGTAGGTATAGCTCCACCTGTTCTTAACCTCGGTACTAGATAGAGGTGAATTGTCTTGTGTAGGACGTTAGGTAGGCAGACCCCAGAGCCGGTTTGGACACTATGGAGAAGAGGACATCTGTCCCTGCCGTAGATCGAAATCCGATTCCTCGTGAACCTGTCTTCATACGAGTATATCTGAGTGATCTGGTTGTTGTCGGATCGTCATACACACTCGTAATTTGTTTTTCAGGCAATGGACATTGTCCAAATAAAATCCTTACTGATGAAGAATCACTTTATCTAGTGAGAGTTTCATTTAACCTGAAGACGGGAAGACAAAACCATCCTCCAAAACGTCGTGTATATTTTTCATGCAGACGGTGAACAAAGGAAAACATTTACGTAGCGGTGACAATTGAAGTTGTAAGTGGATTAATAAGCCAAACTTTCTTGCTCTGTGACCAGCGAAGCGCAGACTCAGACGTAGCCGCAAACTACCTAACAACCGAGGACATGAAGACGTCGAGAGCCCCGTCATGAAGCAAAACGTGTGGTTGTTAAGAATGAATTAAAGAACACAAATTAGGGGCAACAGATAGACGCTGCAGATGCAGTGGCCTCCTCTGGACGAGAAGGAGACGGTTGTGTCTGCACGTGTCGTAAGGCTGGGGTTGAAGCGGAAGAAGTTTTCAGAAACCCAAAGATGAGAATGATGAACTATTTAATATTTCTGGCCCAGTCATCTGATCCGATCATGTGGACGATGGTGCAAGATTTCGAATCAGGCTAGATAACTTACTTTCCCTTGGAATTACTGAGTTTTCGCACTTTGTCTATCGTCCGGTATTCTAGACGCTAGAAAACATACTGTTTCGGGAACTGGATCTGTTTCCGTCCTCAAGGGGGGGAGGGAGAGGCACCTACTGCTGGGCCCCTTAGAAGGAGATAACCTCAATCGCTGGAAACCTCAGTAATTCTGAGGTTTATACACGTACACCACCGACAGAACCCTTTAGA